TGTGACTAGTGCAACCGAATATAAACAATGATAATTATAACATTATCAGTTATTACAAGATATAAATATTATTTTACGCTTGTGATTTATGCATATGCTTAAGTACAAGTAGAAAAACGTCTACATGTATAAAAAAAAACGCAAGCTTACGTTTGCAAGAAACCGCTAGCTTTGGCTATAGTTTCTTTTAAGTGCAAATCTTTGTTTAACAATTACACTTGCCTAATTTTGTTTCATTTCGCACTAAATAAATGAATTGCAATATAATGATTTGTATAATAAATTAAGCTAACCTTGGCTCGACAACGGCTTCATATCTTCAGTTCCATTTCTTACTTCGACTGCAATACTAGTGAACTTTTTATTTAATCAACAGATTAACTACGACTCGCGATTAACAAAGTACACTCTTTTTCAATATAATCGTACTGTTTAAACAATTTTTACACTTCCACTACGTACGTTACACGTTACACTCTTAAAAGTCGCCAATTTAAAAGTAAGATCGTCGTTCGATAATCGGAATTAGTTCGATACATTTTTGAAATCGATCCCGTGTGCGCGCGCATTGCACAACTCAAAAATTCAAACGACGCGCGTAATATTTTTCAATAATTACTTACGAAAAGAGAGGAATTCATTTAGAATAATTAATAAAAATTATCGTATAGATATCATATAAATAAAATAGTATAAAATGTTTTAATAATTTAAGATATAGATTAAGATATACGGTTTATTAATTATTTGAGTTCTAGATTTGAATACCCAGAAATATTTTATTAATTTTATCTTTCTCTAGAATTATCGATCAATCAATTTTGTTTGCTTCGGTTACCATGTGACTCTTCTGCGAAACAGCTTCACGTAGCTGCCAGTAATACAAGTATTTTTAATGTAAATGTAACAATTATGAATTGTTGATTAAGGGTACTCTACGGAATATTAATTAATCAATATATTATGCCTCATCAATTAGAACCGAATGATAAAAGTCAGGATAATGAAATGGAGGTAAGGAAAATCACATTTTACACTATTTCGTTTATAATATATATTTCCAATAATTTGCAAAAGATTGAAAATCGTATTGTATTATCGTAATACTTTAAACTATTAAAAACATATAGATTATTTTAATTTTTGTATTACTACAGCCACTAAAATATCAGAACACTTATCGTCTGGAAGCTTATAATCCTTTCAAAGTTGATCCAGTAGGTAGAATCGTGAAGACAACAATGATTAATAAGCTCGAAGATATCTCTTACGATCCAGCAACCTGTTTGAAAGCATGCGAATCAGTTGCTGCCGACATTCGGGATAAAATTAAAAAATTAACTTTCGACAGGTAATTGTAACGTTTTAAATGTAACAATCGATTGAATGCAACATCGATATTTTTTTAGGTATAAAATTGTGGTAAGCGTGACGATCATAGAGAAGCAAGGACAATCTTTTCAAAGTTCTCTTGGATTTCTCTGGGACTCTGAAAAGGATAATTATTCTACATTCGTTTACGAAGCTCGAACATTTCATGCTTACTGTTGTATATTCGGCATTTATCACGAATAATCAAGAAGTATTGAAATTCTAATTTGTTATCTAATCCTCTAAATATAGAAAATTTTTAAACAGAAGGAAACGCGTTAACATCTCCAAAATTAGCAGAAACTGATAGTATTGATCTTTTATTTTTACCTGAGCAATTATCGCAGAAAGATCTGTAGTGTTTCACTGAAATCACATGTTTTCGAGGCGTTCACGATAGCAGTGAATAGTATACTATATTTAAAGATAACATGGACGATAGTTATGCATATATGTAGAAACATTCAACAGGTATACATGTGCTTTTATTAAGTCACACGTGTTGCTCTACTATTTTCGATCATGTACCATAAATTCGCAAAGCGACGTTATTTAACCTGCTAATTTGTTTGCAGACTGTACACTTGTTACTTATTTATTCTGATTTCTATACTGTCCCAACTGTGTAATTGATCGCGAAAAGACTTCGACCAATTGACACGCTGTCAAAATTTCTGCTTCGAAGGCACGTCAAACCGACGTCGAAGCGAAATAAAAATGATGCTGTTACATGTAGCAACGAAAAAAATTATGAAATATATTTCTACGATATTAATACTGAATAAATTACCATGTTTATAATAATATTTAAATTAACGACTATTAACAAACGACTATTACATTTCCAAACACCATTTAATTAACATCGACGTTTAATATCATACATGTAAACGAATCCTTGTTTTTCGAAGATAAATATTTCTTTTTTTTCTTAATCATAAGTAGCAGGTGTTAAACAGAAATTCATTTCAGCTTCTGAACATTTTAAAAAGCTAAAAATATAACGATAATTATTTAGACAGCGGATCTTCGTGCAAAATAAATATTGCCTGCATCGATTACGGTAAGCAAAGTTTGCGTAAACTTGTATTGATTTTAACATATAATTTATATAATAATTATAACACGCTATCCCGTCTGATATTCTCACTAGTTTCGTGTTTATTTCATTTGCCCTAAAACCGTAAAATACACGCTGTCTATTAATAGCAATTACACATTCTGAACGAATGTACAAAACCAACAATAGTTTGTCCAACTATTTAAACGTCGTACATTCGAATTCCAAGGATTTACCCACGTTTATTATACGGGAAACCGGTTAACGAAAACTAATATTGATCGATCGTAAGATCTGTTTAGCCCCGCATTGTGCCCTCGTTATAAATTATAATGTATGCTCGAAAATATTTCAACAGTCTCAATTAAACATTAACGCCGGAGGCGTTTCTCGGATACACGCATACCCGCAAGTGTACCAGTTGTTTCCGTGTGTTTGTTACTATAAAAGAGGAAAGGCGTGCAGTCATTAACATTTTTATCTTTAAATCGAACGGGACACCGAGCCAGCCAAGCAATCAGTGTCCGATCATTCGTCTCCGTGGGCGCACGTAGGTAAGTCTTTACACCTGTATCCGTATCTTATGAACATAATTGTTCAGATAAAATAACTCTACCGGGATATTACATTCTCCGTAGAATCACTACGTCTGCAACATGTGCGATGCATAATGTATACGATTAAATAACTTTAAATAATTCGTGTGGCGCTTTCGTATACAAATGGGACGATTTAAGTAAATTTCGAAGGGATAGCTTGCATTTATGGTTTAATAAAAATATTATATTATATTATATTATATTATATAGCATATTATTATTAGTATTATTAGTATATTATATAGTATATTATTATTAGTATTATTAGTATATTATATAGTATAAAAATATTATTAAATATATAATTTATAGTAAACAAAAATACGCTCATCGGAAAAGCTCGTCGCGATATTTAAAGTACAACAAAAAACTTGTACGATTCATAGACGATCGTGCGACAGCGTAGTCTAAGATTGCGGCAAGGTTTTCCAGCGGTTTCGCAGCGGATTTATTTAGCAACAGATTTCCGCCGTCGTAGTTCACGTTTTCCTTGTATTCCGTTTATAATTGCAGGCACGAGATACATTTCCAAGAAGAAGATAATAGCCGCCGATATAAAAATGTTCGACACAAAAGTCATCGCAATACTGATTGTTTTCGTATCTATCGAAGATCGATTAGTTTCAAGCGATCCCGAGAGCGATTACTGTTACTCCGATGATCCGCATGCATACTTGCTCGCCGGATCCAAAACGGCTTATGAAATATCGCATAATCTCATAAGGAACACTTCCGTGCCAAGTGAGCAATCGTCGTCGACACACTATTATACGAGCGACTTCACTCTACGGTGTTAATTTTCCATGTAAATTTGCCATTTTTTAGACTGCGAACCGGCGCAGATTTGGATGCTGTTCAGACACGGCACCCGCTACTCCGGGAAAACCGAGATCAAAAACATGAAGAAACTGTTGCCGAAACTGCAGCAGAAGATCCTAAAAAATCACGAAAACCACGGAAGTGAGTGAAGCCCTCGCTGTGGATCAGCATAATAGGCCGTTGTTACGTCGCTCCGAAATTAGAATTGTAAAGGAGATCGCTTTTTGACTGGTTCTCAGTATTCCCAGCTGTAAATTGTTTTCCCGCTCGCTTGTAGGAGGCCATTTATGCCGCGACGATCTCGCGAATCTGAGAGCCTGGGAAATAGATCCCAATTTGAGCGAGGACACGCCGAAGTACTTGACGAAACAAGGCGAGACGGATTTGAAGTCGCTCGGCGCACGGTTCAAGCAATATTTCCCACAACTTTTGCAACCCGTTTCAGAGTATACGCCAGCGGATAAGTACAAGGTAGCTCAATGATCCGCGCCCGATCCTTCGTATCTCGCGAATCCCGGCTTAGTCCGGTCGTCATTCTGTATTTCCACGCAGTTCAAATCGACGGACTCGCAGCGAACCGTGGCCAGCATGCAGCACTTCATCAACGGCGCATTCGGCAACGTGACTTTCAACAATACGGAAGTCGTGTCGGCGGAGGATAACACATTGCTGAGGGTCTGAAGAAGTGAACTTCTGAAGCCGTGTCCCGTTGGACGCATTCATTTTATAACGTTCGCGGTATCATTTGTTCGCAGCTCTACAAGATCTGCAAGCCTTGGGTGGAGCTGATGAAAAACAAATCGACCAACGCCGAGGTCGACGCGTTCCTGGATGGACCGGAGATCGGTCAGGTCACTCGCGAAGTCAGCCAGAGGCTCGGCTTCGACGAGGATCTTCCATTCAGTGAGTTCTCTCTGAACGAGCATTTTCATTCGATCAGTTATTGAATCGATCGATTCGCGATTCCGCAGAGTCCGTTCTTACTATGTACACCGCCTGCGTGTTCGAGAGAGCGTGGTTCGTTGGAAAGTTGTCGCCTTGGTGCGCAGCCTTCACGGAGGAGTCCCTAAAGGTGTTCGAGTACGAGGAGGACCTTTATTACTACACTCACAGCAGTTACGGGCAACCGATGAGCCCGAGGGTCGGCTGTCGACCGTTGCAGGACATGTTCCAGCATTTCTCGTCGGTTCTATAATTCGAATTATGCTCCCGTCGTCTCTCGAGGACCTGCTCGATCCATCCTGAGAACCGTGCAAATATTTCAGGAGACTGGAGAACCGAGAGGCGCACGATGACGAACTGCAAGGCGTGTTCTACTTCAGCCACAGCTCCATGCTGCAGTTGTTCCTGACGACGATGGGAGTTGCCGAGGACTCGACACCTTTGACAGCCACGAATTACGGGACCATGCGGGACAGAAAATGGCGGGCTTCCTATCTGGCCCCGTTCGCCGCGAATTTCGCGGCCGTTTTCTACAGGTCGATAACGCGATTTCTCGGCCCGTTCGAACGGATCGTGCTGATGGCGATTTCTCGATTACAGATGCGACTCCGCGAACAAGGTCCGGTTCTATCTGAACGAGAAACCCTTGGAGCTGGCGGGTTGCGAGCAAGGCGTCTGCGATTGGGAATACTTGAAGAGGAAGCTGAGGACGCCGGGTTTCGACTGCAACATTGACTTCTGCCAGATCGATCAGTGAGAAACGAATCGTTTCTCATGCTGTCGGCATTGTATTTTCTTCCGTTTAGCTCGTATATACGATAGAAGTTATTATTCTAGTTGTTAGAATCGACCAAAGTGTACCTCTATGCTTGGAAAATAAAAGCGCCGCGCGCGGCCGTAGAAATGCGAAACCGTTTCAACGGAGGTCGACCATTTTCACGGTCGAGTCCACTTGAAATCATTCTAACGCAAATTACGTACGAAGTTCCAGTTAGGTGACAACAAAAACGGGCGGTTTAAAGTGGTTACCGAGCACGTCAAGTGTGCTTTTGTCAGCGATTGTGATGAAGAAATTAAGGTGTCATAAAATGTCTGATTCATGTGTGCGCATGTTCGAAGGCAGCGACGCTCGACGGCCTTATATTACTGTCACATAAGCTGCCGTGATAAACGATGATCTTTATACGCCTAACATATTATACATAGTTTAACGACGTCACGTGAGATTGATGCGCCAGTTAATACGTAAATATTATCCCGTGCGCCTAATTCGTTGCTGCTGCCGTTCGGTTTCATCGATCGTTCGATCGAGACGCGAACCCTGTTGCGGGATTCTGTTGTAATAATTTCTTTTTTTTCGGTTCTATTTACAGTGGACTTGGACTTTTCAGTGTACCGTTCGAAAATATTCGTGGTCGTTAATTTATTCGAATCGGTAATATTGGGTTGGCAACTAAGTAATTGCCGATTTGTTCAATGAAATAAAAAATTTCTTTTTACTTGGAACGAAGTTTAATTTGTAATGTATTTTCCATGTTGTTCGATGACCTTTTGCCATCTCTCTGACAACTTGAAAATTCCACGCTCGTAGAAAGTCTGATCCTTTTCGGCCAAAAACCGAGTCAAGTGAGATTTTATAGCGTCATCGTCGTTAAAAGTTTTACCACGAAGGGAGTTGTCCAGGGATCGAAATAAGTGGTAATCCGATGGCGCGAGATCAGGGCTATATGGTGGGTGTAACATCGATTCCCAACCAATATCCATCAATTTTTGCCGAGTGGACAAAGACGTGTGCGGCCTAGCATTGTCCTGCTGGAAAATGACACCTTTACGATCGACCAATTCTGGTCGCTTTTCCTTGACCGCTGCATTCAATTTGTCCGGTTGCTAACATTCACGAATAATAA